GCCAGCTTCTTCCTATCAGACGTATGGGAGAAACCTACGTGTGACCCACCAGCCCATGGAGACCCCATCAGCTGGTCACTCCCGAGGTGAAGATGTTTGAGAGCAGGACGGTGGTAGGACTCATGGATGGTCTAGGTTGCTCTACACAGGTTCTAGGTCCCCCAAATTGGGCTCAAGATCTACCAAGCCTGAAGAAGTCCAACGTCCTGGGTGGTGGCTGCTTGAGGAGGTGGGGACCGGCAAGACCAAGCAGGTCCCACCACCCGTGGGAGAGCCTCAACACCCCCGAGGAGATGACTCACTTGGCCTCCTCCAGCTCCTCGGTGCGCTGGATGGCGTCCGTCTCGTACTTGGTCCTCCACTGCGCCACCTCGGAGTTGGCCTTGGAGAGCGAGCGCTGGAGCTCGGCCTTGGCCTCCGTCTCCTCCTCGTACTGCTCCCGCAGCAGGTCGCAGTCGTGCCGGGCCGACTGGAGGGCGTGGGCCAGCGCGTTCTTGGCCTGGGGTCGCAGGCGTGCCGGGCCGACTGGAGGGCGTGGGCCAGCGCGTTCTTGGCCTGGGGTGGGGCGAGGAGAAGGTGGGACCGTGGGCTCCGTGTCACCCGGAGCCATCTTGGGGGCCTCCAGCTGAGTAGGGGCTGGTCTTCATCACCCCAACCCAGCCCAACCTCCTCTGGGTCTTCTGTAGACCAACCCAACCTCCTCCAGACCAACCCAACCTTGTCTAGACCTTCTGTAGACCGACCCAACCTTCTCTAGACCCACCCAACCTTCCTCAGACCTTCTGTAGATCAACCCAACCTCTGGACCAACCCAACTTCCTCCAGACCAACCCAACCTTCCTTAGACCTTCCTTAGACCGACCCAACCTTCTTTAGATGTTCTGCAGACCAACCCAACCTCCTCCACACCAACCCAACTGCCCTCCTTGCTACCGACCCAACCCAACCCCACCTCCTTGAGACCCACCGACCCCACCAAACTTCCTGAGGACCCTCAACTCCTTTTCTCCCCCCGTGAAGGCAGCTCACGCCGCGTCCCCAAGTCCCAAACCGACCTCACCCTTGACCTTGGGGGTGTCTTTCACCCCCAACCCCCCCAACGCAGCCCTACCTTGGCCTCTTCCTCCAGCTGCCTCTTGAGGTCCTCCAGCTGCTGGGTGTAGGTGAGTTTCCCTCGCGTCAGCTGGTTGATGAAGGCTTCCTTCTCCTCCAGCTGCCTGGAGAGCTCACCTATGGGGTGGGAAGGTGGCCAATCACTCGCTGGAGAAGACCCCAAAGCCCACCCCGCCGGACACGGGATCGGCGATCGTCTCGGAGAAGAGCAAGGCCCTCACCGTTCTCCGTCTGGAGCTTGGCCCGTTGGGTGGTGAGGTCGTTGACCATACGTTGAGCCTCCTCGGACTTGGTCCGGTGCTCGTTCATCTGGTCTTCCGTGGTGCGACACATCTTCTCCAGGTTGGCCTGGAGACCGGAAGGGCAGGAAGATGAAAGGAAATGGAGGGGAGAGCGACGGAAGAGTTGTCCCGTCGCGGTTGGAGACCCATCTCCCACCTTGGCCTTGATCAGCTGCTCCATGTTGGAGCTGACGTCGTCCAGCTCCAGCTTGAGCTCGCTCTTCTCCTTCTCCAGCTTCTGCTTGACGCGCTGCAGGTTGTCGATCTGCTCGCTGAGCTCGGCCACGCTGTCGGCGTGCTTCTTGCGCAGCGCGGCGGCCGTGGCCTCGTGCTGCAGCGTGGCCTCCTCCAGGTCGCGCCGCATCTTCTGGAACTCCGCCTCCCGCTTCTTGTTGAGCTCGAGCTGCACCGAGGTGGCGCCGCCCGCCTCCTCCAGCCGCTCGCTGATCTCCTCCAGCTCCCGCGACAGCTCCGAGCGCAGCTTCTCCACCTTGGCCCTGCCCGTCCGCTCCGCCTCCAGCTCCTCCTCCAGCTCCTCGATCCGCGCCTGCGCCCCGGGGCCGGGGACACGGCCTGGGCTTGACTCCGCCCACCTCCCACCTCACC